CTGGATGGGATCGAAAAGAAGCTTGAAAAAGCCTTTGGCTTGTTCAGTTGCCCCCCCTCACTCCTTCAGCTTAACAACATTGCAAACTCCGCTCACCCCTGCCCAAGTGCGCAGGCCAACCTTGCACAAAAACAAGTGAGATGCCTGCCCAACCAAGTACAAAACTCAAGTCTGCAACTCCAGAACAGCAAACTTGCAGTACTGGTGGGAAACCACCCCTTGAATTATAACAAATGGGCGGATAAACATTCGGTCACAAATTCCCTGACCCAACTGCTGGGGCAGACATTACGCCCGTAGATATCGTGGACATCTCATGGCTGCCTTCTGGACCTTATATGAGACGTATGGTTATTAACTTTAGATCTGCCCATTTCGTTGCAAAGATTCTAAAATTAAGAAACCGCACAAGAAAATGGTACATCTATTTTACAAGGGTTTTCACCAATCTGACCCGTACACCGCTATGCACCAGGATAGGTGCTGTCGGTGTTGATGCTGGGCCTGTGCGCCATAAAGAACAAATAGACGGGGAATGGAGCCGGGATCTATTACCCCACAGGGAGTGGCAAGCCTGCCCGCAAATGACTTAATTGATTTCCTACATCCCCGCTTGGTACCCTGGTCTCTACGTGCAACGAGCCTGGCATTGGACTACCCAAGCAAGACCAGTCTGAAATGCTCTCGTCCTCATATGCCTCGATGCCGGAATTGGAGGCTTCCATTATTCTAAGCCCAATACGCAATCAAGATCCACAGCTTTTGTCAAATTTTGACCCGCTAGCAGTACCGACGCAAGATGCAGTTGTCGACCTGCTACCTATACAGCCTATACGGGTCGGCAAAATCCTTGCTCTGCGAAAACCAGCTGAACATCATGATACATCAGCTGAACAACATGATATTTGTAACGGTGTCATCGAAGATCCTCTGGGCCAAATCAACCTATTGGCCCCTCAGTTAAAGTTATCATACCTATCTAGGGACCAGCGATCTCAAACCCGGAACCACCAAGCAGGGCAGATAGAGGAGGAGCCCAGCTCAGGAGCCTCAAACCATCGGAAAAGAGATTGACTGCCACTATTTCCACCATCACCCTATTTCCACATTCTATCCTGGAATGTGGCGGGATGGCTATCTAAGCAGGGTGACGTCGACCTTCTGGATTTCCTTACAAAATTTCAGATTTTATGTCTACAGGAGACATGGTGTCTAGATCTCCATGTCCCCTCTTTACAGGGATACTGAAGCCTTTGCTACCCCTGCGATAAAACCAAAATCCCGAGGCCGACCTAGTGGTGGTTTAGTCACTTTTGTTTCTACCAAGCTAAAATGCAAGGCCCGGCAACAGCAGTGGGTGAAGAGTAACAATTTACAAATCTCACTTATTTCTAGCAGTGAAGGAGGAGATTTCCTTTGTTTTAATATATATATCCCTCCCATAGGCACCCCTCCCCAGTCGTCACAATTCTGGGAAGATTTAGAGCTATGTTTGGAGAAGGCTGAACTAGAATTCCCTGGCATGGATATCCTGCTGGCAGGTGACTTCAATGCCAGGATAGGAAATGACATTAATACGTACTGCTCTAAATCTCAGTTCCTGCCAGAGGCAGATTGGTTTATTCCCTGGTCCTCAGACGATAAGGTCTTGAATAAGGCAGGCATTACATTAATGGAGACTGCCTTCAAACATAATTTGTATAGTTTGCATGGTACCCATATGGACAGGTCAGGGGGTTTCTTCTCTTTTCTTGGACCCAGAGGTGCGAGCGTTATTGATTATATCCTGGTCTCCCCAAAACTCTTGGAGAGGTCACAGGGCTTCAGGACTTTCAATAGAATTGAGAGTGATCATCTTCCTATATCAATTTCACTAATTCCCCGTGGTGTGGAGGATCCGCAATACCGCAATCACTGTGCAGACCCACCTCCAACTCTGGCCCTTCGTAGGCGTAAATGGAACAGCGACCTGGAATCTAAAATCAAATTACACCTGCATTCATCAGACTTACTGGCCATGAGAGACCAGTGCATCTCATCCATTTCTGACCCCTTTTCAACATTCCAGCAGGTCTCAGAGTCGCTCTTCCCACTACTCACGAATTCCAACCCTCCCAAAAAACAAAACAACTCGAGGGCCTGGTTCGACAAAGACTGTAGGAATCTAAGATCTTTGCTCAGGAAACTACAAAATAAGGTAAAACAGGAAGGGACCTTGTCCTCATTGGAAAACCTGCACAGGTGGCGTTCTCATTATAAAAATACTCTAAAATTTAAGAAATCCCTCTACAGAAAGGAACAATGGGAGGCACTTGACAAAGCGATCAAATTGCGGGATGACAAAAAGTTCTGGGAAATAATTGCCCAGGGAGTTTCACCCAAAGGGAAAATTGTAACCAACAGTATCTCATCTAACTTATGGTACCAACACTTTTCCCGGCTATATACAGCTCCAAACATTGCTAAACCGAGCCAGTTTCCTCCTCTTAAAAACGATCTATTAATGGGCTGGGATCCTGTTACCGAATCAGAATGTTTACAGCTAATTAAAACACTCAAGAATGGCAAAGCTCCCGGTGAGGATATGATTCCTCCTGAGGTATTTAAACTAAATGCCCAGTGGTGGGCTGCTATTTTGGCCCAACTTTTTACGGTAATAAATGATATATGCAAAATCCCAGAAAACTGGAAACTGAGCCTGGTAGCCCCCATCTATAAGAAGGGAGACCCCCAAGACCCCTCAAACTATCGCCCCATAAGTCTCCTGGACATTGTGTATAAACTTTATACTCGCTACTTGCTAAATAAACTGGTTGACTGGGCTGACCACTCTAACCTGCTTAATCCGGAACAGGCAGGGTTTAGAAAGGGCCATAGTACAACAGGCCATTGTTTGGTACTACAGACAATGATAGATAAGTATACAAAGGTACATAAGAGCAAACTTTCTGTGGCTTTCGTAGATCTCACATCCGCTTTTGATTCAATCTGTAGGGACAAATTATGGCAAAAATTATATGAAACAGATATTGATAGACGACTTCTCAAAATACTTAGAGAGTTACATTCAGACACCACAGTTAAAATCAGAACTGGGATGTCAGGCAACTATACTGATCCACTGCCACTGGGGAAAGGGGTTAAACAGGGCTGTTTGTTAGCGCCGTTCCTCTTTAATTTCTATATAAATGACATTGTTCAACATATGGCAAAGTATAAGTCATCAGCTCCTGCCCTGGAAGGCAAACACCTGAATATATTACTATATGCTGATGACATGGCTGTCATGGCACTTACTCGAAGGGGCCTACATAGCATGCTGGAGGGGCTCGCAGCTTATTGTTCCCAAAACTCTCTAAAGATAAATTATGACAAAACAAAAATTGTGGTATTTACTAGAGCTCGCCACACATTTAGATGGTCTTTAGATGAACACAAAATTGAACAGTGTCTTTTTTTAAATATCTTGGTATCACTTTCCAAGCTACATCTAGCTGGCTTGCCCACTTCAAGACTGTAGCCCTTCTAACACGTAGGACAATCGGTGCCCTGCTCAGCTTTTTTTATTCGAGGGGAGGGCAACTGGTGATCCCGGCATTAAAAGCTTTTGTTGGAAAAGTGATTCCCCAGATGCTATATGGAGTAGAACTCTGGGGATGGAATCAGAAGCTGTTAGAACGGCTTGAAATCTTCCAAAATTTTTACCTCAGAAGAATTCTAGGCCTCCCTCAGAGTACTCCGGCAGCTCTCCTAAGAGTGGAAGTAGGATTACCTTCTGTGTCTGCCAGGGCCCACTTAAGATTCCTGCGTTTTTCACCAACCTCACAGATGCCCCGAACACCTTATTGGCTAAACAAGCCTTTGTATTATTACAAAATAATACTACTTGGCATAAAAACCTACTAGATATCCTATCCAGATACAATCTACCTGAGTTTAATACCCTTAAATTGTGGAGCCCTGATAAAGTTCGGGAATGGATCTTTGAAAAGACGCCTTTTGGACTCCACAAAGATAAAAAACTCTGGGTTTTCCTACTGGTTTCCCCGAGTAAAAGCAGTCAAAATCTGTGCCAACTACTTGGTGGAGATCACTGACCCCACCCTTCGGAGAGCTTTCACTATGGCACGGTTTCAAACACTGCCAACTGCATATCTGACCGGTAGATTCACAAAAACCCCAGTAGAACATCGTTTATGCCCTTGCCTTATGAAAATTAAAGAGGATCTTACACATTACCTCCTCTATTGCCCCATCTACTCGAGCTTTAGAGACGCATTGCTGCAAATTATACCCAACTCTATAACCAATCCTGAAGATAGAGTAAAATTTTTGTTAGTTGATGCAAACCCACGTATTACCCATGTGGTAGCGGTTTTTGTGATAAAGGCCATGAAAGCCAGGGAAAGACTTATGGATGACAATGTAAAGACCCCTTCATCGTCTGTTTAACTCGTTGCTCGTTTTCCCTCTCTTTCTATTTTGTGGGATGAAGGTTTTGTTGGCGTAGTATGTAATGAATTTTAATATTTTTTTTAACTATCGTTGTGTTAATGTTTGTGTACAGGCATGGTCCTCACAATAAACGGATTTGTCTTTTGAATACAAATGCTGCAAATAAAATGAAAAAATAGAACAAAAAAATCAATGAATACTATATCAAATGAAGGCAAAGGTATGGGGAACATGGTCTTAGCATGGGCCTAGTGAGGACTTTTGTTAGCGGGGCAGAACTGACATGATTGGTCAGTTAAGTATTTCTATTGTTTTATTTGATAGGGAGCTGCCCTCTGTCCCCCCCCCCTTAGCTATGCCCATGGGTCTTATGAAACGAAATGTGGTATTTTGGGGTTGTGGCTCTCTCTCCCCCCCCCCCCCCCCGTGGCTGGTAACTTGCAAGGAAGGAGGACTTGTATTAGCAGCACACAAAGAGAGAGAGAGAGAGAGAGAGAGAGAGAGGGAGGGAGAGAGGGAGAGTATTCTGCCAGAACCATGGTAATATGGAAATAAACAAGTTTGGTTCCACACTTGCATCAGCATCGCCTGGGCAACCTGGGAGCGAATTGCAACATGAGGCATTGTTTATGTTCCAAAAAGGAGGGGGTAGAGGAGGAATTGGAAAGCTGAGTAACATCCCCACTCCTTATTTGAAATCTACATCCAGATTTCCATTCCATCCAGAGAAGCAGCATCAGGGGTATGGGTGACTGACACAACCAATTACTACTTTGATTGGTAACTGAAATCCTAAGACCTTTGTTTGCTGTGTATTAGAATGATTAGGGTTAGGGAGCATAGCAATGCAAAGGCCAGTTGCCACCTCTCTTAGAAACATGGCATTGCAGCCCCTCCAAAGAATTAGAAAGACACAGAAGAAATTGTTTGTATTCTCCAGATGCTGCCCCACAGACCATGCCACTAACAAGATGACAAAAGGCATTGTTTTTGTGCCCTGTATTTAAGTTTTATTCCCCACCCCCTCCAAAGTGCTCAGGGTGAGGGATCAGGCCTGGTCTCATGCTCTGGAGGTGGTCTCCCTTCATTCTGCTCCTCTATCCTGAAGGGCTCTGGGATTGGGGTGGACACAGTTGTGGTTTTCCAGGGAGGAAGGGTCAGACTTATGCTTGGAATGTCTGGAATCAGTATTTTGGTACCTGGAAAAGGGCAGGCGGCAGCTTACTCATGCCAAATATAAGCAGGATATAAATGTAAGAAAACAACTAGCTAAATAAATACTCCCCCTTCAATGCCATCTAGGTCTTCAGCTGGTGGGTCAGGACTTCCACCAATACTTCCACCATGCAAATATATGGTCAATGATGAAGAAATGGGTCCCCAAATACATGTTACTGAAAAGGTTGGAGATCCCTATCTAGCCTTTCGTCCATCATAGAATCACAGAACTGTAGAGTTGGGAAGGCCCATGAGTGTCATCCAGTCCAACCCCCTGCCATGCAGGAATCTTTTACCCAACATGGTGCTCGAACCCATGACCCTGAGATTAAGAGTCCCATGCTGCACCAACTGAGTTATCCTAGGTTCAACAAGTCTTGTGGCAGCAAATTCCACACATTAATGGTGAGTGTGCTTTGCTGCCAACAAATAAGAACATAAGAACATAAGAATCTGTTGGATCTGGCCAAAGGGCATCTAGTTCAGCATTCTGTTCTCACAGTGACCAACCAGATGCCTGTGGGAAACCTGCAAGCAGGATCCAAGCACTCTCCTCCCATGTTTCCAGCAACTGGTATTCAGCAGGACATAGTCATCCTGACTAGTTGTCATTGATAGCTTTATCCTCCTCTGTGAATTTATCCAGTCCTCTTTAAAAGCCATCCATGTTGGTGGTCAGCACTGCCTCCTGTGGGAGGGAGTTCCATAGTTAAACTAAGCACTGTTTATTGGGGCTTTGCTTAATGCTATCAACACACATGAAACTATTTCCCCAACTCCTGCCTGCTGGTTCCCCTTGCATGTTTCTTTTGGTGTGTTTTCTACATGGCTATTTTGCTATTAATCATCTCTATTGTTTTCCTTCTGCTGTTTGGGATCGTGCTACTGTTGCTTGAGCTGCTTGTAATTATATTTTATGGTTGCAATTTCATTCCATGTTGTTCATTTTAAATTGTTCTGAGCTGCCTTGGGGACCTTGTTGTTGAAAGGCAGGCTGGGGGGGCAGTAAAATCAGGGGTCGATAACCTTTTTTTTTTTTTTTTTTAAAGTGCAAGGGCCATATTTGATAACCATCTGAGGGCCATGTACCAGTGTTGAATGGGGTTAGAGAAAAAAACTGGGTGGAACAACAGGAGGGACTCTTTGTGCATTAGGCTATAATCCAGCTCCACAACCCCCCCCAAGTTTCTATACCTACCCCTGCCCCCATCTTCATCCAGGAAAGCAAGAGGCTTTGATCTCACATTCCAGCCAGGCAAAAGCACTTGAAGAGGGCACAAAGCAGGGGCAGGGAGGCTTGTGACCTGGAGAGAGTGCTAATGGTCAGAGAGAGAGAGGTCTGGTTGGTGGCATGTGGCTCCTGGGCTGAGCCTCCCATTCCTGGTTTAAATAAACAAAGGCACCCAGACCTCTGGATTCACCCTCATTCCCTCAGCCCTTACAGTGCAGGGGCTGCAAAGGGGCTCTTCTCTGTCTGTTGTAGGACTAAAACTCCCATCATCCCATGGTGACTGGGGCTGATGGGAGTTGGAGTCCAACAAGCTCTTGGGATGTTGAATACCGTGGCCTAGGTACATGCCCTTAAATCACATAAACAAGCAGCAATCTCCATTCTTTTAGCACTTATGGTCCTTATGTGGCCAAAACAGCACCATCCAGCAAGCCTGGAGAAAACGGCAAGGTTTGAAGATAGGATAGGATAGGATAGGATAGGATAGGATAGGATAGGATAAGATCCCTCAGAGGAGAACACTCCCCCCTCCCCAAATAGCCCAATGTGAACTTAGCATACTTAGTGGAAATTGAATACTGTTTGGGGTGGGGTAGAACGGAGTAGCTGGAACCCTGAGCTGCAACACTCCATGGTGCAACATTTTATTGCAGGTTGGACTTGCATTCATTCATTTACTTTCATTCCCCAGAGCACTGGTGACACATACGACTCCCCACTGCAGTGGGCACACTCCAATGCTGACTTCCAGAGCCAAAGGTGCAGCTCAGCCTGTTAGTTGTCTTTCTGGTATCTCTAAGCATCCAGCCAGAGTGCCGGCCATCAAGAAGCAGTATGCGTCCATCAGTGCCAAGTATAAAGGTGAGCTGTGGGAAGAGATGGGGCAAGAGAGAGAAAGAGATGAGGAGTACAGAGGTACCCATATCTTTGCCAATCTGGATGTGTTCAACAGCATTGTTGAAAGACCCTCTATGAGAACAGGATGCTGGACTCGGTGGCTGGCTGGCTTGATCCATCAGGGTTCCTTTTATGTTCTTGTGGAAACCAAAGAAGGAAACTGATCTACATTTCTCAGTCACCATCACAACTTTCTTCCAAGAGTACTGCTAGCATGCGAGACAGTGCATATTTCCTTGTTAATAAATAATAATAAATAATAAATTTTATTTATATCCCGCCCTCCCCAGCCGAAGCTGGGCTCAGGGCAGCTAACAACAATAAAATAATACAACATTCTAAAATCATTTCATTATAAAATTAATTCAAATCAAATTGATGGCAACCATTGGGCTAGAGTTCTGTGAAGATTGCCAAAGGAGGGAGTCAGGCTAATAATAATTTTTTTTTCCTTTTGTTTTCCTTTTCCTGTGGCTGGTATGTCACCACTGCTGTTGTCCTACCAGGGTAACGCTTGTTTAAAGGGGATGAAGGAAGGGGGTTGGGAAATTACAGGCAGAGCATAGGTGGTTGAGTAAAATGGGAAATCTTCTCTGGCTTGAATTATAGTCCGAGCCACAGAAGAATTCAGGTGCCTTGTAATGCTCACTTCCTACTGCAATGCAAATATCCTGGCCCAAGGCTAGCGAGATTTTACCAGAGGGAGAAGAAAAGTATGTTGTGGGACTTCCATCAGCCCCAGCCAGTCTGGTTCAATGGTCAGAGATGATGGGAGTTGGAGTGCAGCAACACCTGGAGATCAAACACATCCATTCTTAAGGAAATCAGCCCTGAGTGCTCACTGGAAGGACAGATCGTGAAGCTGAGGCTCCAATACTTTGGCCACCTCATGAGAAGAGAAGACTCCCTGGAAAAGACCCTGATGTTGGGAAAGATGGAGGACACAAGGAGAAGGGGACAACAGAGGACGAGATGGTTGGACAGTGTTCTCGAAGCTAGAAACATGAGTCTGACCAAACTGCGGGAAGCAGTGGAAGACAGAAGTGCCCGGCATGCTCTGGTCCATGGGGTCACGAAGAGTCGGACACGACTAAATGACTAAACAACAACAACAACAACAACAACACCTGGAGAGCTGTAGCTCCACAACCCAATATATTATTCAATATATTATTCAACACAATATATTATTCCATTTTGCCCTTTTACTATTACCCAGTGTGGCAGCTCATAATCTGCAAATGCTAATGGTTCCGGGTTGTCTTCCCATTATTTCCCCCCCCCCCTTGTGGTTCTCTTGCAGGGCCAGGACCTGGGAAGTATGGTAGGCAGCCTCTCACTGGCATTAAGGACCATGACTTCACCAAGTATGCTGAGCCAGCCTACACAATGCGTGTGAAATCCAGTGAAAGATGTAAGATGCTGACAAGTTAGGTTCTGTGTTATTTGGGTTTCCCCAACAGTATTAACTGACCCACAGGGTGAAGCTGGCTAAACAACTGTTAAATTTGCTGGCAAAACATTTGAACAGAGATTGACAACCTGTGTTTTTGGGACTCTCTAATTATCGGGGCCACAGTTGATGGGACCTGGGTGATCCATGATCAAGAGCTGGGTGGCTTTCCAAAGTTTCCATTCCAACTGGATCAATGGCACTGCATGTAGGTGGCTAATGTTTCTTGACTACAACTCCCATCAGCCCCAGTCAGCATGGTCAAGAATGATAGGAGTTGTAGTCCAGCAAGGGCTGGAGGGTCTTATACTGCTGATTTAGGGCCCTTCATGGTAAAATTATGGCTGCACCAAAATCAGGGTTCTCAGTTGTACAGCTGCGGACCTTAGTGGGAAGAGGATGATCTACACTTAAGCCATGTTGAAGGATAACAGGAATGGAGGTGCAGGGGGGCGGAGCTTAACATATGCACTGCTATCTAGCTAGTGGGTGCCTTTAATTGATATCGGACAGGAAGTCAGTCATTGCAACCAAGCTAAATAGCTCAGAATCCACACCATGCCTCATGCAGAATTCTTCTTTCCTTTGCAAGTGATCTCGATCACGGAGAGTCCTGGGCCCTGCTACTATGTGGACCCAAGCATTTCCCGTCTAGGGATATGGAGACCAGTTTCATTCCGCATGGTGCAAGAGAGAAAGCGGCCATGTAAGTTGAAAGATGAGAGATACTATGATGGTCAAGATGGGGCTGGAGTGGCATCTGTGCAATTTTGTGATGAAAATGTTTCTTTCTCACCTTGTGCAAAGAAGGCTTGTTGGTCAATCCCTGAACATGAAAGAGAAGGAATGAAAAAGAATGAGTGTGAGTGAATGAGCAGGTGTGTTATGCATGAAAATGGATGTGTGGGAGCATTATGTGTGGAGCTGTGCTATTAAACCACTGAGTCTCTTGGGCTTGCTGAGCAGAAGGTTGGTGGTTCGAATCCCTGAGACAGGGTGAGCTCCCATTGCTCTGTTCCAGCTTCTGCCAATCTAGCAGCTTGAAAGCATACCTGTGCAAGTGGATAAATAGGTACTGCTCCAGGGGGAAGGTAAATGGCGTTTCCATGCACTCTGGCTTCTATCACAGTGTCCCAGTGCACCAGAATGCTGGCCACATGACCCAGAAAGCTGTCTGTTCCTTCAGCCTGAAGTGAGATGAGCGTCACACTGCATAGACACCTTTGACTATGTATGTAAGGTCCTTTACCTTACATTTACCTTTTACCTTTTACCTGCATGCATGTGGATTTGTGTATGAATGACAGAGAGCAGGGGTAGACTTTGGTAATACAGTTTTCTAAGTGAGGACAAAATTTGGCACTTCCCCCAATATATTTTATTTCCACAGTAATTCCTTTTGGTACAGTTGCTTTTTAATGGGGTTTCTCAGTAGGTACCCACATGAATATAAGTATTAATTATTATTATTATTATTATTATTACTACTACTACTATTATTGCTACTACCAATATTATTACTAGTATTATTATTTTATGCCCCCTTGGCTCAACACCCTGAGCAGGGGAACAGCCTGCACTGCCCTAGATCTGGCATTACAGAGAGAAGCATATGAAAAAGAGACAGGTGGCCTCACCCTCTTTTTTTATCAGCCACACTCACTGTTTGTCCCAGCTCCACTAGTTTGCAAGCTCTGGAAGATTGACTGCATGGGAGTGTTGTCCCTAGGCTGTAAAAATTTATTCACTCTTTGATAAAAAAATTATTTCTGAGTAGGGGGTGTCAAGAACCAGACAGAAAAACCAGCTATGTACAGAGACCTTACCTAAGTGGGCTGTTTGATGTGGGAGATTGTCTGGGCTGATATCAAAGTGTAGTTTAAAAGCGTCTGTGACGCCCATCCATCCCTCCATTCATTCCGTGTGTGTGTGTGATCCCTATTGCTTTCCAGCTATTGGCCTTGACCGAGTGGGGCTGCTCTGGATAAAGGGGCATTCAAGGAACTGGGGGAAATATAGTTTTCCTGATTGGTGTTCCACCAAGTCAACTGGGTTGAAAAACACTTTTTACCATTAGGGTGTCTAAGTGTCCTACTTTACAAAGGGCAGTCCTCTAGGCAAAGGGTTCTTCCGTGTGCTTTATATATTAATAGTAACACCTTGAACCTGGCCTGGTAGCAAATCAGCAGCCAATGCAGATCTTTGAGCACAGGTGTTATATGCTGACAAGGTCTCACTCCTGCCAGCAATCATGTTGCAACATTCTGGTCAATCACGCTGGAAGTCTCATCTTCCTGATGCCAAGGGACCATAAGATGTTGAGCATGTGGCTGATGAACGGACAGACAGGAGAGCCACCAAAAACAGAATAAGGGAAAACAAGAGGGTTATGTTGCTTTAGAGTCATAATCTAGGAAGTAGTCTGGAGGGCACCTATGGAATTAACACTTAATGACAGTGAATTGCAAGGGAAGATGTCATGGAAGAGATTAATAGCAGTGCACTCTTAACTCCACAGGTGATACACTTAGTTAGAAAGGCTGCTAGGAGAGGAGATTGGAGGACAATGCCATGATTTTAAAAAGTGGGGGGGGGGATTTTCAGTCAAGGCAAGGAGGATAGTGCCTCTTCCTCCAACATCCTCAAAGTCACAACAGTTTACAAATGATTCAGCTTAAGAACAAGTAGAATTCTCAAATTTAGAGAGAGAAAGAGAGAGAGAATATGCAAGGCTTGTCATCTACAAGGAGGAGCAGAGTATTGTAGCAAATACATGGGGAATGCTTTTCCCTTTCTTTTGAGAAGCATCAATGGCAGATTAGGATCTACTAATAGATCAATAAGTGGGAGTTTTTTACTCCTAACATTAGCAAGTAAAACAGCAACTTAAAAAACAAACAAACCCTGCATGGCAGATTGCTCCTTCTCTTTAAGCCTCAATGTTTCTCAGATTTTACGTCCATCATTCCTGCCTCCTCCTGTGCTCCTGTAGAATATGATGTACCCACAGGTTTATCCACATGCTCAACAGTGGGGAGCACCAAGTGAGGGGTGTCACCTATCTGCTCTTGGCTTGCAGTTATATCTTGTACGCCTGCCCCAAATGAGTATTACGTGGAGAAGATACACCCACTTGAAGAGTCGAATGCACCAGCGTACACTATGGGCCTTCGAACGCACTACTGGGTGAGCAGCCCAAACCCAGCACCCAACCAATACACCCTTCCACAGACACTGGGTCCAAAGCTGCCTGTCAAACCTGCAGCTCCCTGCCTCTCAATGGCATCCAGTGCCTCTGTGTGGGGCTATGCTAAAGACCTGGTGAGAGGGCCTGGCCCGGCAATGTATACCATACCTGAACCAGATGTTTACCTGTGCCACCAGCCATCCTACAGCATCTCCCAAAGGTTTGCTTCCTCCAGCAAGAACTATACGCCAGGACCCCCTGACTACAATGCAGAGCTGGTCACCGCCGACAAACCCAGAGCCCCACGGTTCAGTCTTGGGATTCGTCACTCTGAGTATTCTCATGGCACACCTCCAGTTTGTTTACTCAAAGAGTGAGGGAGGACTCACAGGCCACAGAGGTGACTTGCCCCTTTGGGTAGACCCACCTCCAAATAATTCCATTGTGACACAGTGTCAGGAAGCAGGTGTAAATAGCTTGTTTCAGAGGGAGAGATTCTGATGAACTTTGAACACGTTTGGGCTATGCCAGGGTCAGGTAATTGGGGAGGGGGACTAGATAGCTCTTGACTTAGGAAAGCCCTCCTTTGTGAGACAGGGGGTCTGCCTTGGTTCTTGGCAAAATCCTTTCTCTATTCTTCCTCCTTCCAGTGTGCATTACTAGTGTTTTATTTTTATTTCTAAGGAACTGGCTAGCATAGGGTGAAGTGTTTCTCACCCCAGCACTTAATTCGCTTTCTGTTGCAGAAGATTATTGGGAAGAAGGCTAAGATGCTCTTTTTGCTCATATAAGAAACAGTTTTATAATTTTATAAGTATTACCTTTTTTTTTTTACAAAGCTCCATATATATTTATTTTTCTTGCTACTATTCTATTTACACTGAGAATGAAATGCAAAATGAGAGAGCTGTTTTTAATATTGTGTTTTACCAGTGTATATTGAAGAGCCTTCCAAAGAGTGAATTTATAGGGCAGTCTATGTAACTTGCTTACATGTTACTTGCTTTGCGTAAGTAAATAAATAAATAAATCCAATTTAGATCGCAGTTTTGGATTTTGTCAGCTTGGGATGACTAATGTACCTTCTAACATGCCTATCATCAAACAACATTCATTATGCTCTCAATTGATAAATGTAGGCTACATTGATTATGTTCATGAGCTCTGTGCATCCCTTCCCCCTCCATACCCAGGTGATTCAATGTAGGAAAGGGAGAGTGAGACTGGGCTGCTTAGGTATCGTTTTCTATCCTAACCTCTTATTTGCTGCATGCAGCACCATTTCTGTTCTGCTACAGTTTGTCTCCTGCCAGCAAATATGTTATTTGTCTTGTTGTCTGCTGGTGGTGAAATTATGGCTCTTCACATCAGTCTCGAGGTTGAGGGTGCCTCCTGCCCACAACACATACACAGAATTTCCTCTAAGAGAAATGCTGGTTCTTAGCTCTCTCCTCCTAATCTAGATGAGCACCACAAGCCAAAAACCACTTTCTTGGGAAGACTGCCTTTTTTCAATGTATTATTTATCCTGTAATAGGAATGTTTTCCCACTATTCGATTCTCCTATAAACCAGATGGGAACTAAGCTGACCTCCTTTCTCTCATTTGTTTGCTGCTCTTGCTCCATGTATCATTTTTACAGCACTTCCAGCCAACTTTATCCAACCTCTTTGCAAGTGCATGAGTGAAATATTATTATTAATATTAATAATTCAATTTTTATATAATCTTTTAGCAAAAGATTTCAGGGTGGTGTACAACATTAAGAACACATTACAAAACATCAATGATAAAACATACTAAAAACATAGTAAGAAGCATACTGACAAACAGTCTAATAGTAAAGGTAAAGGGACCCCAGACCATTAGGTCCAGTCGTGACCGACTCTGGGGTTGCAGTGTTCATCTTGCTTTATTGGCCGAGGGAGCCGGCGTTTGTCCGCAGACATGTGGACCAGCATGACTAAGCCGCTTCTGGCGAACCAGAGCAGTGCACGGAAACGCCGTTTACCTTCCCGCCAGAGCGGTACCTATTTATCTACTTGCACTTTGACGTGCTTTCGAACTGCTAGGTTGGCAGGAGCAGGGACCAAGCAACGGGAGCTCACCCCGTAACGGGGATTCGAACCTCCGACCTTCTGATTGGCAAGTCCTAGGCTCTGTGGTTTAACCCACAGCGCGTCCTTAAAACATAGTTTTATAAAATTAAAACATAGTAAGAAGCGTACTGACAAACAGTCTAATAGTAAAGAACCATAACAGTCCTTTCTTGCACTTTCACAGGCCATAGATTATTTACTAGCCATAAACTTTGGTAAACCGGAATGTTTTTACCTGATGTCTAAAGACATGCAATGATGTCTACACCACTTTGTTTGCTACCCAGGAGCGGAACCACACTTTAAATCAAACATGGAGCCAAGGAAATGAACTCAAGTCCAGCATCCAGGAGGGACTCCATGTTTATTGTAACTATTGCAATAGGGCAGAGATCAACTTAACGTGGTTGTCCTCTGCCATGAGGAGAATTAGAACAAGGCTTATACAGGCAGCACACAAAGAGCCATAAAAAACATCTAAACATTCTTAAAGCAAACATCCTTCTACATACAACAGGAAAGGCTACAGGTCATGAGAAGTAAAGCACACATGGCTCCTTATTGGTATCCTCACCCCCACAATAACCTTGCAGTGGCCTACATGTGCCTTTGGCCTCAAATGTCCCACTTCTGTCACCATTGCCCTGGCAACCAGGTCTTCATCAGTATTGTTTACATTCCAGTCCCTATTTCACTTCCCTTCATTCCTGAGCCATCTCAAAAAGTTTCAAGGAGATACTTGGATTTACACTTTGATGCTAATGAGAACCAGTGCTTTTTTTCTATAAAAATAGGTGCATGTACTCACCACGAAGTTGTTACAGTAAGTGCCACATTTTTAACTACAAAAAAAGAGTTACAGGTACTGCGTATCCTTGAGTAACACCTGGAAAAAAAAAAGAACTGAGAACAACATCCTTAATGACCATTTGTACCATTTTCAGGGTAGATAGGGTTTCTTGTTTATGGCCTAGAGAGCATAAGGTTGTAAAATGCAGGCCACATGAACCTCACACAGAAAACAAATATTTCCCTTTCTGCATTCTATCCAAGAGGTGAAATGCAGTTAACAGTGAAACAATGAAGAACTATATATATACACACACACACCTTGGGTCTCTAATTCTTATATTAGCACCAGGTGAGCTTCTCTGGGGAAAGCATTCCATATCAGGGACCCACCATAGAAAAGGTCCATTCTCTTGTTGCCACCCTCAAAATCTTTCTGGGAGGAGTGGCATAGAGAAGGGCCTCAGAGACTAGAACGGTGCAGGTCTGGATCAGTTTGTATGGGGAGAAGTGGCCCTTAAGGGTCCTGAGCCGTGTAAGGCTCAACATTAGCACTTTGAATTGGGCCCGGAAACTAATCAGTAGTCAGTGCAACTGTGCCAGGATTGGTGTTATATGCTCAAACCATCTTGTTCTGGTGAGCAATCTGGCCATTGCACCAGCTGAAGTTTCCAAACCGTCTTCAAAGACAGAATTATGTATAACATGTTGCAGTAAATCAACCTAGAGGGTACCAGAGTATAGGCCACAGAAGTGAGGCTATCCCTGTGCAGATAGGGGTGTAGCTGGGCCACAAACTGAAGCTGGCAGAAGGCTCTCTGTGCTACTGAGGCCACCTGGGCCTCTTGGGACTGGGAATGATTTTTGCCTGGAGAGCTTATGCCAGTGTTGGCAATTTTGATCTAGATGGACTAATGGTTCTGATATAAGGCAGCTTCCTATATTCTGAGAAATGACAATGGATTCCAAAGCTGTGGCATGAGCTGCTGTCGTAGAATCCTAGTTCTGTAATTTGAATGACTGCTAAAAATACCAGAAAATTAAAGTTTGGTTCAATTGTTGACCTTACCCTTTCCCCATACTTAATATAGGCTGTTCACTTTTTTAAAAATAATGCTTTTACAGCTCTGTATGCCAACCTAGCAGTTTGAAAGCACGTCAAAGTGCAAGTAGATAAATAGGTACCACTCCGGCGGGAAGGTAAAAGGCGTTTCCGTGAGCTGCTCTGGTTTGCCAGAAGCGGCTTAGTCATGCTGGCCACATGACCTGGAAGCTGTATGCCAGCTCCCTGGGCCAATAAAGCGAGATGAGCGCCGCAACCCCAGAGTCGGCCACAACTGGACCTAATGGTCAGGGGTCCCTTTACCTTTATGTTTATCTTTTTAACCATTAATTCATCAAACACCTTTTTTAAATGTGTGCATGCGTAAAACTTCTAAAGTCTGGAAAAGGAAAGCTTTCCATATGTAAGACAGCTTCCAAATTAGCCTCTGTTCTTAAAATGCATTTTTCTTTAGTCTTTGGTAAAATTTAGCATGGTAGGTCATTAGCAGCATCAAGGTAAAGCCTATTGGCCATGACCACCTGGCAGATTATTTTGGGACCTAAAAAGGAGCTATCTTAAGAAAGGTAATAAATTATACATTGTACCGGGAAGAGACGATGACCTCGTTGGGGCTGAGGCAAGAGGTTTTTGAAAAGAGCCCCCAGGACAGGCAGGAGATCGCAGCAAGCCCAGCGCCTGTGCCCTGTGCTCGGGTGGGTGGGCAGTCCCTGCTTCGAGCTCCGGATGTGAGTGAATAGTAGAAGAGGGAAGAAAGCGCCGCCGGCACCATTTTAGGAGAGGGAAAGAACCACGGAAGTGAGTCCATTTTGGAAGAGGGCAGAAAGCGCCGCCGGCGCCAATTTAGGAAAGGGACAAAGCTAGCGGAAGTGCCTCCATGTTGGAAGAGGGCAGAAAGCAACGCTGCGCCATTTTAGGAGAGGGAAATAACCACGGAAGTGAGTCCATTTTGGAAGAGGGCAGAAAGCGTCGCCGGCGCCATTTTAGGAGATGGAAATAGCCAGCGGAAGTGCCTCCATGTAGGACTCCATGGTGGAAGACAGGGAAAAAGCGCAGCCAACATCATTTTAGGAGAGGGAAATGATCCCAGGGACGCTGTAAGCAGCAGTTGCTCTGTTTCCAGTCAATAAAAAATGATTGCAAGGTGTGCTTCATGGCATAACTTTCACGTGCAATAGAGGCCTCGATGCAGTGGCGATACATAAATATCTTTAAAGGTGCCACTAGAGGGCGACACCTAACAGCAATCACCTTGTGGTCCTGTGAACACCAAGCAAAATACTGAGAAGCAAATTTATTAGAAACCCCTAAACTGGTGTCTTGTCATTACTGGGAGGGGATTCCAATTTTTGTGCTTCTGATGGTATCGTGTCATATTTATGTCTGATAATTTCGAAAAGCAAGCAAACCACCCCAAACCAAGGAAACCACCACAAACAGAAACTACCGTATTTTTAGCACCATAACACTCACTTTTTTCCTCCTAGAAAGTAAGGGGAAATGTCTGTGCGTGTTATGGAGGGAATGCCTACGGGTGGCGGGGGGATCTGCTGCAGTCGTGAGCAGAGGATCCATGGTTCCCCTTCCTTCCCTCCTCTGTGGCTCACTTTGAAACAGCAAAGCGGGAGAAGAGCTGCTGAGTGGGGAGAGAGGGACAGAGAGCCTGCTTCTTTAAAGGAGCAAAGCGGGAGAGGAGAGGAGCTGCTTACACAAGTGTAAGCGGCTCCTGTCCGGTTGGTTCCTTTAAAGCAAGCAGGCTCTCTGTCCCTCTCTCCTCCCCACTCAGCTAGCTAAATAGCAGCAGAGTTTTTCAGCTCGCTAAGCCGGGGATGAGCAGGGAGGAGGGAGAAAAGCAGAGCCTGCTTGCTTTAAAGGAGCAAAGCGGGAGAGGAGAGGAGCCTTCTCCCCTTATACCCCTCTTCTTACCCCTCTTCTTCATTATTAGCAGCATCCTTCTCCATCCACCCCACACATGCTCCTTGTCCTTTGAGTGCTTTTCCTTCCCTCCCCACTTAAAACGTGGTTACAAAGGATCCTCAGGATTTTTGCATTGGGCTACTCCAAACTCACTGTCAGATCACATGTCTGTGGCCACAGCATGAACCACAAAAATCATACATCCACTGTTTCATTTAGAATATTTTTTTCTTGTTTTCCTCCTCTAAAAACTACGTGCGTGTTATGGTCGGGTGCATGTTATAGAGCGAAAAATACGGTACTTGAAAAGAACCCAAAGAAAAAAGCAAATTCATTAGAAACCCTCAAACCAGCATAAACTGATATGCAAATATTGCGTACATGTTATGTTTCTAGTTATTTTGCTTTTCCTTGTGTTGCGTGTTCAGTTTAGGGTGGTTCCGCTTCTCCTCAATGATTATGACGGTTTTTTCTGTGGTTTGGGTTATTCTGCTTCTATCGTGTTTTGTGGAGAATTTGGCATTTTGGCGATGGCTTTTCACCATTTTTGTGTCTCCTCCGGTGTTTTGTCATTTCTGGGGTGGGTTTCCAATTTTTGTCCTTCTGATGGTATTAGTGTCATATTTATGTCTGATAATTTTGAAAAGCAAGTAAACCACCCCAAACAAGGGAAACCACCCCAAACAGAAACTACATGAAAAGAACCCAAAGAAACAAGTTAAATACTGAAAAGCAATTCCACCAGAAACAACCAAACCAGTGTAAACTTATCTGATATGTATTGTGTGCAAGTCATGTTTCCAGTGATTTTGCTTTTCTTGGTGTTGTTTGTTCAATTAAGGGTGACTCTGCTTCACCTCAATTGGTTTTAATGATTCTGATGTTTCTTCTTTGTTTTGGGTTATTCTGCTTCTTTCAAGTTTTGTGGTGAATTTGTCATTATGGTGATAGTTTTTCATTGTTTTTGTGTCTCCTCCGGGGTTTCCTTGGTTAGGAGTGATTTGCTTCCTTTTTGAAATTATCAATAACATAAAATTGACACAATACCATTAGAATCACAGAAATCAGAAATCTTGTTTTGTTTAGGGTTAGGGTTAAGGTTGGGTTGGGGGTTCTGTTTCGTTTAGGGTTAGTGTTGGCGGTAGCATTAGGGTGAAGCTTAGGCTTAGAGTGTATGGTTTAGGGTTAGGGTTAGGGTGATGGGAAGAGGGTTTGGGTTGGGGGGAGATGGTTAGGGTTAGTGTTAGTGGGGAAAGGTTAGGGGTTAGAATTAGGGGAGAAGGTAAGGGTAAGATGAAGGGGTTGTCAGGGTTAGGCAGAGGCTTAGCGGTCTTAGAGGTCTTGTTTCGTTTAGGGTTATGATTAGTGTTAAGTTGTGGGTAAACATATCAGACGACACAGCGATTCTTCAAACAGCTCTTGTTTATTCAGAGGCCAGAACAGAACTGAGCTGAAAGGTTCAGTCAGCCTGCTTATATAGAGCTCCAGTACACATAATTGTATCAACTTTCTAAAGCTATCCAATCACTGAACGTCACTTTCAATCCCTTATTTGCATAACTATCTACAGTATCCCCCTGCTGGCCCAGGGTCAGAACTTCAGTACATAACACCCCTCCCCACCGAGATAAGGCGTTATTTACAATCGTAATAGTTTCATTAGATACAGCACTACATGTAATGGTTCAATTAGGCACAAAAGCATATTGGTTGCATTTCACATACTTCCATTAGACCAACAGTATTACATGTCCAACAACATAGTCCTTTAAATAAGTTGGGCGCTTGGAAACTCTGCCAGACTGCCGGGGAGCAGTACCCAGGTCCGGTGGGCTGCCTGATTCTTGCTGAGGCTGTGGAGCGACCCTAGAAACCAAGTCCACTGGAACCGCTGCTGTGGGTGGAACCTCCACAAGTGGAGTTGGTGGAATGTCAGGCACGGCAGTGGTCTGAGTCTGTGGGAAGTCTGGCAGACCCTCTGAAGCGGCTTGGTTCGGCTCCACGCCTGCAGTTTGTGAGAGAGGTGTAGGTGGAGCCTCGCCATCTGTAATGTCCGTCTTCGAGTGCCATCTGGTATGAGCGAGGTCCAGTGACTCCCACTACTGTGGCTGGCACCCAAGGAATGTCTCCCACAAAGTTCCGGGCAAAGACCTGGTTTCCTGGAACAAATGATCGTGGCGTGTTGACACAGCCTGGGGGTTCGGCCACGGCAAAGTTCGGGTGTAGCCAGTCGAGTGGAGACCTGAGGTGGCGACCCATAAGCAGTTTGGCAGGACTCCGCCCTGTGGCCGCATGAGGGGTGATGTTTTGATGTGTTGCACGAACAAGTATTCAGCAACCCGCTCATGCCAGTCTCCCCGGTCCAAGCGCACTAGTGCCTCTTTTGCTGAGCGGACCATTCTCTCCGCTTGCCCGTTGCTGGATGGATGAAATGGTGCCGTTAGGGCATGGCGGATGCCCAGTCCCAAAAGGTATTGCTCAAAAGGGCCTGAGGTGAACTGCGGTCCGTTGTCAGAGATGAGGACACCAGGACACCCATGTGTTGCAAAGAGGCCTCGCAGCACCTGTATAACTGCCTGGGTAGTGGTGGAGGGCATCAGGGCCACCTCCAGCCATTTGGAATAGGCGTCCACCAATACCATAAAGGTCCGGCCACGAAAGGGGCCGACCAGATCGATGTGCACCCTTGACCAGGGTGTCTTGGGCGTCTCCCAGGTGTGTCCCTTAGCTGCCGGTGGCGCAGGCCTCGATTCTTGGCATGCTTGACAGGCGGAAACCCAGGCAGTGATGGCATCGTCCATGTTAGGCCACCAGACGTAACACCAAGCCAACGCCTTCATTTTGACGATTCCTGGGTGGCCAACGCGCAGAACTTCAAGGATGCGTTGACAGAGTCTTTGGGGTGATTACGTGATTACGACGCGGTCTCCCCACAGCAGACAGCCACGATGAGCCGAGAGTTCGTGTTGTCTGGTTGCGAAGGGCTGGAACACCGATGCAAAAGGCCCTTGTGGCCACCCCCTCCACAACCAGTTGAGCACATGGCTGATGGTGTGATCCTCGGCAGATGCGGAGGCCACAGTGGCAGCCGATACAGGCGCTGCCGGAAGATCCTCAGTCAGGAGAAGCGATGAAGCAGGAGCCGGGTCTTCCACAAATGCTGCAAGAGGGCAACGGCTGAGGGCGAGGGCGTCGGTATGGCCCATCGATTTCCGTGGGTAATGGACGAGCTGGTAATGGTAGGCAGCCAGGAAAACAGTCCATCGCAGCCTGCGTGGCGAGAGGACCGGTGGAGTTGGTCGATCACCGGCGAGGAGGCCCAGCAGCGGCTTATGGTCGGTGATGAGGTCAAAAGTCCTGCCGTAGAGGTATTCATGGAACCTCTTCACTCCAGCCACAAGTGCCAGTGCCTCCTTGTCGAGCTGGCTGTAATTCCGTTTAGTCAGAGATAGCGTCCTGGAAAAGTAGGCGAGCGGTGCTTCTCTTCCGTCTGGAAAACGGTGACTAAGGACAGTGCCGATGCCAAAAGGTGAGGCGTCGCAGGCAAGGACCATTGGCCTGGCTTCACTTTACTGTACCAGCACACTGTCCGATGAAAGGAGAGCCTTGACCGCGTTGAAGGCCGCCATCTCCCGATGACCCCAGGACCAAAGTGTCTTTGTGCTGAGGAGTTGGTGGAGAGGCTCAGCCGCTGTGGCTTTGTGGGGCGGGAACATGCTATAAAAGTTCAGCAGTCCCAGGAATGCCTGCAACTCCGTCTTGTTCTTTGGGCTGGGGGCCTGCTGGATAGCACGGATCTTGGATGTGGTCGGGTGAAGGCCGGAGGCATCGATAAGATAGCCCAGGAACTCCACCTGTGGAACGGCGATCTGGCACTTCTCCCTCTTTACCTTGAGAACCTGGAACCTGGTCAGCACGGTGTGGAGGCGCTCGAACAGCTGCTGGTGGGAGTCTGCGGACACCAAGACGTCATCAAAATATGGTACCATGCCCAGAAGCCCTTGCAGGAGATGCTCCATAAGGCTTTGGAAGATGCCAGGAGCCACACTTACTCCGAACTACAAACGGCGGCAACGGAATGCCCCTCGGTGGGTGACGATTGTTGGGGCTTCAGCGGTGGCATCATCGACGGGCAGTTGTTGATGGGCTTGGGCAAGGTCCAGCTTAGCAAAGACCTTACCCTCATCCAAGGAACTCAGCAGGTGTTGAACAACAGGAACCGGATAAGCATGCTGCTGAAGTGCCTTGTTGATCGTGCACTTGTAGTCAGCACAGATTCTCACCGACCCGTCTGGCTTGACAGGCGTGACGATGGGGGTCTCCTACTTGGCGTGGTCAACCGGCTCCAAAACTCCTTGGGCGATCAGCTTGTCCAGTTGTTTGTCCACCTTAGCCTTGAGAGCAAAGGGAACCCGGCGTGGCTTTAGCCTGATGGGGGCGACTTGTGGATCAAGGCTAAAGGAGATGGGCGTGCCTGTATATTGCCCCAAGTGCCGTCAAAAACCTCAGCAAAGTCTTTGACCAGACCCTCAGTCTCTGCGTTAGAGATGCAGTTGAAGCCAGTGACTTCCATCAAACCAGTCTAGCCCTAGGAGGCTTGGCCGCTGACCTTCGACCACCACCAGTCGGAGCAGGCCCGAAAAATCCTTGAAGGCGATCCGGAACCGGCCAACGCCTACCACGGGAATGTCGTTTCCCTGGTAGTCTCTCAGGTGTACGCGGTGAGAGTCGAGTTGCCTTTTAGACACTCTGGGTACTAGTCTTTTGATGGTGCTCCAAGACACGATGGACAGGGCAGACCCAGTGTCAGTCTCCATGTCACATGGAGCTCCTTCAATGAGCACCGTGACGTTCAGCTGGCGTCGCGTAGGCGAGTCGGTTTGGCCAATAGTGGTTCCAGATGGGCAGTGGCGGTTGGTGAGAGCAAAACAGCTTTCCTTGGCAGACTGGAGTGAGGACTTGGACTTGCGAGTCGGTGAAGGGGGGGTGCCGGACGGAGCCGATAGGCAGACCTTAGCGATGTGGCCCCTTCTGGAACACGTCCGACAGATGGCATTTCTGAATCGACACTTGGCACGGGAATGGTTGCCTCCGCAGCCGGCACATTCCGACTGACCTTTGGATTTCTGTTGGAACTTCCTGCGCTCCTGCTTTGTCTGGTGCACATCATCGTCTTCACTGGAGGATGCCTCATCACTGCTGACCTCTTCTTGATGCACTGGAACCGGCTTCCTAGCAAGACGCGGGCTGCTGGCTTGAGGATCAGCAGCTTCCGAGGCCACGGCCTCCTCAATGGCTTTCAGCAGCGTGAGGTCTGGTTTGGCAAGGAGACACCGTTGCAGACGGATGTCCCAGACCCCGCAGACGATTCGATCCATCAGGGCATCGTCTAAGTCTCAGAACTTGCAGTGCATTGCAGCCTGTCGCAGGGCAGTGGTGTAGTTGTTGATTGACTCCCCCTCTGCCTGGTTCCGGTAGTAAAATGCATGGCGGGCAGCAATCTTGGACGGCTTTGGCGCGTAGTGGTTGCGGAGCTTCTCTTGAATCGTGTCCCACGGTGCTGCCTGGACTGCTTCAGGTGCAAGCTGCTTCAGGTGCAAGCAATGCTCAGGCCATCTCAAACACCTCAGGCCCACAGAGGATTCTTCTTTCTATGTAGATGGAACCCAAAACAACCTGTTTTGCTTTGTTTAGCCTTATTACACTTCGTTTTGCTATTTGTGGGTGAATGAACACCGAAAGAACAATCCAAGCTTATTCGTCCTCTTTCTATTGAGATGGAACAAAAACACCTATGCTTGATTTGGGCTGATAACAAACATTTCACTCTGCGATTTTTGGGTGAATGTGCATTCTAACCCCAAAAACACCAATTTGAAATAAGCCCAACCAGAGCTTTATCATCTTCTTTTTATGTAGATGAAAGCCAAAACACCTTTTTGCTTTGGTTGGGGGTGATTCTGGTGCACACCCAAAGAACACCATGCGAATTGATATAAGCCCAATCAAAGCTTATTCGTCTTCTTTCTACGCATATGGAAGCGAAAAGACGGTGTTTTGTTATTTTGGTCTCATTACATACACTTTGCGATTTCTGGGTAAATGTGCATTAACACCAAAGAACACGACTTGAAATAAGTGAAATCCAAGATTCTTCTTTCTATGTAGATGGAACCCAAAACAACCTGTTTTGCTTTGTTTAGGCTTAGTACACTTCACTTTGCTATTTGTGGGTGAATGAACAATTTGTTCAGGACCTGAGAAAGTGGTGGGCAACCCAAATTCCCTTCTAAATGCAATCCTGGCAGGAACTACATGGTACAGCGCTGCAGATCTATGCTCTGCATTCTTCAGTATCCCTCTAGCCCCTGAGAGTCAATTCCTCTTTGCCTTCACCTGGGGACCTAGTTAACTAACCTGGACCAGACTACCCCAGGGTTATGCGGAATCGCCCACTATATTTTCTGCAATACTACACCAGGATTTACAGGATGTACATTTGTCTGGTCTACCTATCTGCTCTATGTAGATGATATTTTAATATGTTCTACCAGCGAGGGGGCATGTAATTAGACACAAAACACCTCCTTCTCGAGCTAGCATATAAAGGACACAAGGTGTCCCCTAAGAAGCTGCAATACTGCAAGCAGGAAATAAAATACCTCGGACATATCCTGGGGATAGGCACCCAAAGCCTAGCAACTGAAAGAATAGAGGCAGTCACCAAAATCCCCCTCCCCAAAACAAAGAGACAATTGCGGGGCTTCCTTGGTATGGCAGGCTTCTGCCAAGCTTGGATTGCCGGCTACAGCGAAATAACTAAACCCCAGTCAGCTATGACCCGCCAAGATCATCCTGATGAACTTGTTTGGGGAGAGGAAGCCTATAACTCCTTTGAACGCCTTAAGAGGGAATTACGATCTGCCCCCGCCTTGGGCCTCCCGGACTATCGCATCCCTTTCAACCTATTCATTCATGAACAAATGGGGGTAGCCTCAGGAGTTCTTACCCAGCCCTTCTGAGATCAAGAAAGGCCAGTGGCATATTACAGTCTACAACTCAATACTGCAAAGGGGCAGTGAGTTGCTTGAGAGCCATTGCTGCCTCTGCGCTCCTCCTTCAAAAGGCTCAAGAGACAGTGTTAGGACATGAGATCACAATCCATGTTCCCCACGCGGTCTCAACCCTTCTAACTCTAAGGGGCTGCCACCACTTCTCAAACCCACGTCTAAACTGTTATGAAGCCCTCCTGTTAACTCCATCCAATGTCACTATTAAACAGGTCAACTCCCTAAACCCAGCAACCCTACTACCCCTCCTGTTGCATTCGCAAAGTAAAGGAAGGATTGAACTCTGATTAATAAGAATACACACAGAGGCTTGAACCAGCAAGACTCTGGGAAGGGTGCGTATAAACCGTCTCTCTCTCTCTGTGCCTGTCCATGTGCAGCCCCTGGCCCAGGCCATTTTATTCACAAAAGAACTTTTTACAGAGTGTTCGTAAGAACCAATCAGATTTCTTCTGAGCATTTCCACAAACCCACGTGGGGACAAGTTAAACTACTAAAAATAATTAAGCACAAATATTTCTGGGGTAAACAAAGAACAGAACTACAAAGAAGAGCATCTGGCAACCCCGGAGGTAATAAACAATCAGTACATATGATAAGAAGGATGACCAGGAGGACAGCGGATCATTATCACCTTCATGTGAGATCTGTTTCCTGGCCCTAAGATTAACATCCTAAGATTAATATATAAGAAACTGCTTCAAAGAAACTTGCCCACTATCTTTATGGCCCAGGAGCCTGCCTGGCGAAGCAACTACTGTGTACGTGACATGTGAGGACGAGAGGAATGGAACAGGGATGCAGGGGTGTAGATTGATCAAGAATCAATGATTTAGTATTGACGTTACAGGAGCCAGAATCTAGTACTAAAAGAGTTTTAGAATTGATTCAAGAATTTGGTCAAGTTGCAGGATTTAAATTGAACAAGTTAAAAACTAAGGTTTTAGAGAAAAACTTAACATCGATTGAGAGAGAGAGGTTTCAGAATGAGACAGGCTTAACAGTGGTTAAGAAAGTTAAATACCTGGGGATTAACATGACAGCAAAAAATGGGAATTTATTTAAAGATAATTATAAAAAATGTTGGGCGGAAGTGAAAAAAGATTTAGAAATTTGGTCAAATTTGAAACTTTTACTGCTGGGCCGTATTGCTGCGATAAAAATGAATGTATTGCCTAGAATGTTGTTTTTGTTTCAAACTTTGCAAATTGTGGACAAAATGGATTGTTTCAAGAGGTGGCAGAAAGATATTTCTAGATTTGTCTGGCAGGGCAAGAAGCCTAGAATAAAATTTAAAATACTAACGGAAGCAAAGGAAAGAGGTGGATTTGCCCTGCCAGACCTTAAACTTTATTATGAATCAGCAGCTTTTTGCTGGCTGAAAGAATGGCTGCTTCTTGAAAACACTGATATTTTGGATCTAGAAGGTTTCAACAATGTATTTGGATGGCATGCATATCTGTGGTATGATAAGGTCAAAGCACATAAAGCATTTAAAAATCACATTGTCAGGAAAGCACTGTTTAATGTTTGGATAAGATACAAGGATTTAATTAGAAAACAAAACTCCAAGATGGCTGTCACCAATGGAAGCAAAAGCCTTGAAAAAACTCAATATGGAGGTCAAATGGCCAAAATATTGGGAAATTTTAGAACAAGATGGAGTTAGACTGAAACTGCAGAGTTTTGAAAAATTAAAAAACAAAGTGCGAGACTGGCTCCATTATTTTCAGATAATGGAGGCATTTAATTCGGACAAGAAAATTGGCTTCCAGGTGGAAAAATCAAAATTAGAAACTGAATTGTTAGAACCCAAAACTAAGAATTTGTCAAAGATGTATAAGTTGCTGTTGAAATGGAACACTCAGGATGAAACGGTGAAATCTGCTATGATTAAATGGGCACAAGACGTTGGACACAACATCATGTTCGCTGATTGGGAGCAGTTATGGACCACAGGTATGAAATTTACGGCATGTAATGCCCTAATAGAGAATATTATGAAAATGATATACAGGTGGTACATAACCCCAGTCAAGCTTGCAAAAATCTATCATTTGCCCGATAATAAATGTTGGAAATGTAAAGAAACTGAAGGTACATTTTTTCACCTTTGGTGGACGTGCCCAAAGATTAAGGCTTTCTGGGAAATGATATATAATGAATTAAAAAAGGTATTTAAATATACCTTCCCTAAGAAACCAGAGACCTTTCTCCTGGGCATAGTCGGCCAAATGGTGCTAAAAAAGGATAGAACTTTCTTTATGTATGCAACAACAGCAGCAAGAATACTTATCGCAAAGTATTGGAAGACACAAGAGCTACCCACACTGGAGGAATGGCAGATGAAAATGATGGACTATATGGAATTGGCGGAAATGACTGGTAGAATCCGTGACCAGGGAGATGAGTCGGTGGAGGAAGATTGGAAGAAATTCAAAGACTATCTGCAGAAACATTGCAAAATTAAAGAATGTTAGAGTGATGTTGGATTGAAAATAAGTGGCTTCTAGCTATACAGACTTTAAAGTTATATATAGATCAAGATTAAGGATTAGGATTAAAAAAGTTAAAGGAAATGGAAGTTTGGCTTTTAAGAGGTAAAAATTTAATGTTATATTATATTAAGATTAAGGATTGGGATTAAAAAAGAGGGATAGAAACTGCTGGACAAACAAATTGAACTGGAATACAAAAGAGGGAGGTACGAGGAGGTACAGAAAATAAGTAAATTTAAAAATGGTGATGAAAAGGTGGTATTGTTTTTAACTGTTTTCTTTTTTTGTCTTTTGTTTTTTTGGTTTTTTTTGGATTATGTATTGTGTATTTTTGAACTGTGTATTTTTCTTTTTTACTTTTAATGTTTTACTGATGTGTTCTTTTTATTGGAAACTCTAATAAATATCATTTTTTTTAAAAAATAGATTGATCAAGAATCATATCAAAATAGTTTAAACCCAGTCAACGCAATGCTTTCATTGCTGACACAGATGGCTTACCCTATATCTGTTATAATTCCTCACAGCAATCCCACCTGATCACTACATCTCTGGATATTTGCACTCCTACACCCTCCCAGATGATGGCACCCTGCACCATGATTGTACAAAGATAGTCCACCAAGCTGAGAAACCCCGAGAAGATTTAGACCACCTCCCTCTAGAAAACCCTGATCTAATACTCTACACAGACGGCAGTTCCAAAGTCATAAACGGGGAAAGGAAGACTGGATATGCCGTAGTCTCTGACTTCGAAGTCTTAGAAGCCAACCCTATAAACCCTCAATATAGTGCCCTCATAAGGGCTTG